TTGCTTCTGAATAAATAAATATAACGAAATACAGTTAACTTTTGCAATAATGGAGAACATACTGGCATAGTAAAACAGATGCTGGATAGTAGAAAATGAATTAAATACATTATTCTTGTCGTATGATTCACTTCTCAATTTACTAATTATAAAAGAATCAATCTCCGACTTATTCTAAACGTTCAAGTTACATTTCATTGCTTGAGCAAAAATTGTTCAATTAATTAAACTCATAGTGTATAGACTATGGTTAAAACTGATGCTCTCGAGGAAAGATATTGTAAGAAGAAAACATTGAAATATATTAATTGGTAAAGATGCCGACTGAGATTTACTTAGTCATGTTATATCAATTATACGACTTAACCCCTTTTTGATGGCCATTATTTAGGAAAAACAATGTTTTGAATAGTGATTTTTAGGAGAATGTGTGGTTAAAAAGTAGAGCAAAGTTTTAGGTTTACGAGCAGAATATTTTATTGTGTGAATGTGTAGTTGAAAATGAGTACGTAGAAAAAGAATTTTCAAATAATGGCCATCAAACAGGAGCTAAATATCTTCTATTTTGTGCATTTTCAGTTCTCCTTGCCATGCAATATCAATATAGTATATATTTTGAATCTGGAAAATTGGGCTACAATATAATATATTCTATAGGCCTCAATTGGATGGCAGTCGGTATTGGTCCAAAAAAACTATACACCTTTTAAATTTTCAAGAACATTTGAAGAAGTTTTAATGAGTGTTTGACACCCATTTTAATGGGTTGAAAATTTTTGGAATAGTGATTGATGGGAGAATGTGTGGTGGAAAAGTGATGAAAATTTTTAGATTTGTGTGTAATATTATTTTATTTGGAGAATGTATGGTTGAAATGAAGAAAGAAAAAAAAATGAGAAAGAAAATGGGTGCTAAACAGGGGCTTATTATGTTAAAACTATTTCAAATTTTCAATAAAACCCTAACTTCCTAGGGAATCATCCATGCAGGTAGTTTCTTGAATACTCATTTGTAAGGGTTGATCTTGATGATTTGAATCATTTTGTAACTCTCTCAAAATATTAACTTTACATAAAAGAGACAATCAATCTCACAGGTAACATGCAATTGTGCAGGTCTGATAGTTCCTAGTTTTTCTTGTTTTTGCCTTTTTTTATATGTTTTTGCTGCTGCTTAACTGCTATGATCAAATATCTATATACGTTACAATTTATGCACCCTTTATTCAGTTTAGTCCGTCACTCTCTTGCAGGTCTTGGCTTATGCCCAACATGCAAGACAAAATTCCAATTATGAGCAGGCAGCTCTCAATGAACAGATGCAAGATTACAAAAGAAAGATTGATCAAGAAAGTCGGCGGTCTTCCATTGGTCCTCATGGTTATCCAAATGTGGATGTCATACAACCTTTTTCAAGAAGTTCTCATAAAATGATAGAAGCTGTGATGCATTCTGGTGCTGAGGGCAAGGTACAGCCAGCTTCATTAGATTAAATTCTTAACTAAACTCTCTTTGTTACTTTTCATCAATGATTACTTTTCCTACTGAGTAATTATGAGTACAACTAAAACTTCAATAGTTTAGGTACAAACAATCAAACAAGGATATCTCTCAAAACGTTCCTCCAATTTGAGAGGCGACTGGAAGAGAAGATTCTTTGTTCTTGATAACCGAGGAATGCTTTATTATTACCGCAAACAATGGAGCAGATCAACTGTGAGTTCTGATTTTATACAAACTTATAATTAAAATGCATGTTTTATTATTGGATCTTGCTCTGTGTACATCAAGATTTACATAATGCCAGTTTAAAACGTAATAAATTTTTTAATCTAATCTTCTCCTCCATATCATATTATGTAATCCATTATGTACATTTTTTATGTACAAGTAGCAAAATCCCTTATTATTATGCCCACCTTTTTTGCTGACTTCATTGTTGTGCGCTTAGTTTCATGGATCTGGCAGTCAGTTTCCCATGCATAGAAGTTCTCCCTCTGAACAGAGTACTGGGCTGTTGGGTCGGTGGCTCTCTTCCCATTACCATGGTGGTGTACATGATGAAAAATCTGTTGCACGTCACACGGTGAACCTGCTTACATCAACAATAAAAGTTGATGCAGAGCAGTCGGATCTGAGATTCTGCTTCAGGATAATTTCTCCAACAAAAATTTACACTTTACAGGTAAATTATTTGTGCTTCATTCTTGAGCTTATGGATGCTAAAACATCTTTTCTCATAAATTTGGAGGAGCTAGATTATTTTAGTCATATGAATATTTATACAGTAGCAATTTATGGTATTTGTCAAATCTCCTTCAGCATGATGTTATTATACTCAGGACTTCCTTTCCAATGCAGGCTGAGAATGCATCCGACCAAATGGATTGGGTTGAAAAAATAACTGGAGTTATTTCTTCTTTGCTCAGTTTCCAGTCACCTGATAGGGTAAAAGATAAAAGAACTCATTAATTTGATATACCTTTTCCATTGTAGTTCTGTCATTTATGATCTTTATTCATTTCGACATCAGCAATTCTGTTCTAGCCCAGCAAGTGAGAGTAGTTCCCTCGGAAGTCCAGATCATGATCAAAGGACCATTGAAGAATATACACCTGAGAAGGAGATTTCATCAAGAAATATTATACGATCATCCAGAAGTTCCCAACAGTTGCATTACAACATGAAAAATGAGAAGCCAGTTGACATATTACAAAGATTACCCGGAAATGATAAATGTGCTGACTGTGGTGCACCTGAACCAGATTGGGCTTCCTTAAATCTTGGTATTCTTATATGTATAGAATGTTCTGGCGTCCACCGTAATCTTGGCGTACATATATCTAAGGTAAGTTGAACTGGTTTCTGTTTTCCTTGTTGCCCGCCAGCCTTCATCCGCATTCACCAATTCTTTGTTTCATTACATGTTCTTGCATTTTTTCCATTATTTTTTCTTCTCATTTTTTTTTCCTTTTCGGTACACTAGAAAAGGGCAAGGAAAGCTTTTCTCTAGGTGCATAACTGTAATATGTAGACAAGAAATTAATCTTTTTTTTTTTTTTTTGCCACTTTTGGGGGATGGATACATCCCAAAGGATATGTTAAAATTCACATTCAAGTATATATACAGCAAATTATGGAGGAGGCAATATTCGGACTTTTATTCATTAGGGAAAGGGCTGATTGTATGCCTGTATGCTTATGTACATATATCCACAGAAATCTACGTCGAGGTTTTCTTTAACTTTATAAGATTTTTATAAACTGTCTTTAGACATTCTGTGAAACGTTAATATATGAGAAAAAAAGTGATTTCCATCATGAAATGTATTATGCAATATAAAGGATCACATACTGAAAGTATTCTTTCAAACATACTTGACAGAATCTCCTAGTAATGTTCAGGTTGAGAATGAACCTTAAGTAGCTCCAACTTTGACATATGTTCTTTGAGCCAATCTTGAAGCTGTTTCAAGCTAAATTCAATTGGTGACATAAGAACTTCAATATCTGTATAGTAATCTGAGAGCCTGAGGCTACTGAACTTATCGATGTGAGTTAGAAGTGTTTAAAATATATAAGCTTGCCCCATTTTATTGCATTAATCCAAATAAGTCCATGCAATTAGAGCCCTATTGGAAGATGAAATGTACTGGAAATAGAACTAGTTTGTTGTTGAATAAGTCGTATAATTTAAATCCAGAACTCTGAAGGGTGAATTTTGAACCATGTACGCTTTCTTGTTTTGCTGAATATAAGTCATTATATATCATAAATGCTCATGTGCATTTCTTTTCCACACTTTCTTCTATTATTGCATTTAGTGGAAGAGTCATTGAACCAAGAAAAATAGTATCATGATTCCAATTAGAAATTTTTTGTCTTTCTAAAATCCTATGTTATCATGTAGAGCTTCTGAAATATGTAGATTGGTTGGATTATAGTTTGAATGTGTTAACAGTATGATAATTTTTAATAAATCATGATGAAACTGCAGAGAGAGCTCTGAGTTTTTCTGTGTGTACCTTGATGCTACTTTCTCTTTCTTGGTTGTCCTATACATATTGATAAGTCAAGGCTGTCAAGCATTTGGTTCAAGTAAAATTAAGACAGCCAAAGGCAAATGCAAACGGATGGAAAAAAAAAAAATTATATATATATATATCCACATGTAACTTTCTTTCTGTTATACCGAAAAGGAGATGGAAAAATTGTAGCTAGAGTTGCTTGTTAACTGAGTCCTTTATTCTCATTCTGTTTTTTTCCTTTTCAATTTTCAAATGTTGAAAATTAACACTGAACTAAAAATTCCAGGTAGTTACAAGTACTAAGCACATTAGATTTGTCAATGATTTTGCATATTCAGAAATATGTATTTATAATATCTGTAAAAGTGATATATTTCCTCCTGGTTGCTGATCTTACAGTTTCTGTGATAATTTCATTGCAGGTGAGATCCTTAATACTTGATGTGAAAGTGTGGGAACCTTCTGTCATAACTTTGTTTCAGGCATTAGGTAATGTCTTCGCGAACTCGATATGGGAGGGATTATTGCAAGCAAGAAGAACCATGCAGGCTGATGAAATACCAATGCGGTAAATATTGCAGTAATCAATATAAAAAATATGTTTGTATTCCTGCAGTATTAATAGTAAGTATTATATCTGCGATGTAGCCATTTTGAATCTGACAAACACAAACAGTTCTTTAGTAAACCAAGCCATGATGATCATATTTCGATCAAGGAGAAGTTCATTCACGTGAAGGTATTGCTACAGAGATCATTGATTTACTCCCTTTTGTTGCTTTCAATTCTCTTCTGAATTAGAATTACTGTTGTACAAGTGAATAGCCATTGATAAATCTGATAACCGGACCACCTCTTACTTTCTTAATGACCACATCTCAGTATTGTTGTCCTGTCTTGTCATTGTGCGACACAGTTTATTCCCAATAAATTTGGTGCCGGTTTCAAGAATCCTGTTTGTCCATTCATTTGGTTCACTGCTTAACTTATGTGTTATTTGCAACCTAAAGTGTGGTGTTTTTCCGATTGTAGTATGCAGAAAAACGTTTTGTACACAAAATAAAGGACAGTACTCATCTTCTCTCAGTTGCTGAACAGTTGTGGGAAAGTGTTGGTACAAATGACAAAAAAGCAGTATACCGCCTAATAGTCATATTTGAAGCAGATGTCAATGCAATTCATGGTCACGTCCTACCTAATACATCTTTAACTATTAGCCAACATAATGAGGTTGTATGAACATGAAATCCTGATCAAAACTTCCATGTTGTAGATAATGGTTCTTCAAGATCCTCATACCGAGAAGGAGAAAATGAGGATCGAGTCATTCATGAAGGTTTTGATGGTTGTTCCCTGCTTCACCTGGCCTGCCAAACTTGTGATATTGGCATGGTAGAGCTGCTCCTGCAGCACGGGGCAAATGTTAATGCTTGTGATTTGAGGAATCAGACACCACTGCATCACAGTATCATGCGGGGAAGAATTGGAATTGCAAAATTTTTACTCACGAGGTGATTCTTCGCCTTTAAGTTTAATTATATCAATTCCTCTGTCTTTCCCTATCAAGAGATTATTTTGCTTTCTAAATTACTTCATCTATTTGCAGCCATCTTTTTCGGATTACCTTAACTGTTATCCGAATCTGCATTTGCTAACTAATCACAAAACTTGGGTTTCCGCACCTGATATACTATTTCCCCTCGTATAATCATTTAGGGGTTCAGAAAGTTTTCTTGGCATTTCAAATTACGTGTAAATTTATGTTAATGGTGATACTGGTCTTTCATTCCTTCCCCACGAGGCTTTCTTATTCTTGTTACTTGTTAGTCCATTTCTTTCCAAGAAAAATTACTGAAGGAGATTCATAGAATTTGCAGAGTCCATTAACTTTGAAAAACAGAATCTGGGTTCTTCTCTGTGTCGTAAAAGATCTTATTTCAAATCATATTACTTGGTAGTATAGTCCTACAATTAGTCCTCTTATTTGCTCACAATCTCATACTTGTTGTAGGGGAGCCAATCCACAAGCTGTTGACAAAGAAGGTAAAACTCCTTTGCAGATTATTGCAGAATCCGATGTCGATGATGTTGAGCTCATTGCTCTTTTAAAAACTGCAAATAGATAGCATCATCTGCAAAAATCGTTCAAAGGTATACTAAAGAGTCTCGAACCTGGAATATTAGTTGGTATTTTTGTTTTTTCTTCTCTGAAATGAAATACTTGGAAGCTGTGTTTTTAAGGCCAATAATATTAGGTGGTTTTGACAAATGAGGGCGACTCGGCCACTGTATATACCCTCTCGTTATTTATTATCTGTTTTTTCCTTCATGACCAAAGTCTTCACAGATTAGAATCTTATTCAGTTATGTATAGAAGAAGAGATTTTACGCAAGTGTTTCACAAAATGTAATGACAATCTAGCTTTGTGCAGGTGAAATTTGGAGCACAGGTAGTAGGAAGTTGCCCCCATTTTCCTTAAATTACTAGATTATTTTTGTGGTGTAAATGCAAGTACGAACAAGAAAGAGACGAACAATTACTCAATACATATATATATATACTAAGTGCAAGTAACGTGCAATGCACGTTTGCCTAATTTATATTTAATAGTTTTGTTTAAGAATTAATTTGTTATTAATAAAGATGTAATTTTTTTGGTTAATTAAATAATTAATAATGTAATGTTTATGTAATTGATAAATAATTA